CAGCAGGAAATACAGATATAGTAGAGGAGCTATAACCTTGAAGCTGAAGAACAGAATTGTCACAAGACTGAACAAGAAAGGCTCAGCACTGGAAGGTGGTTTCTAGTCAGAGCAATAAGGGAGTGACAGGAATAGTGTAACTCAGGGATGTTATCCTGCAGTCCCCTGCCAGAGAAAAGAGCTGGAACTGGCAACTCAACGTGTCCATCTGCCCCATGAAGTGGTTATGTGATAAATACCAAAAGAGTCGAACCTACCGGGTCAAGTACAGGGGAAATGAGCAGCCCAGGACCCCACAGGAACTGCATATCAATGGTCCACGTCACTTCGTCAGAGTAGAACCTGGGCAAGTGGGAAGGATATAGCAGTAACTGTTTTTTATGAAGTATACCATCAGCAGCAATCCTAAGGATTGGATCCTGAGGCTTAAAAGAAATACCAGGTGATTATTATTTTCATCACGCAGAAAACACTCTGCCAAACATTTGAAAAGTGGCTGCTGTTTCAGAGAGACAGAAACTCGACGGTGCACAATCACATGGTGTTTGCCTTCTGGGTGGTGTGACATGAGGTCCAGCTGCTGCAGGGTGCCTGTGTTTTGCACTGCACATCCCTCCTTGCCTACCTTCAATGACCAAGGCAGCTGACACATTTGTACCTTTCTTCTTTCAAATTCAACTATGTGCTGTCAAAAAAAATTAAGCTGATTACTAGCTAACACTGCTCATCATTCTATTTCTTCCAAACCTGTACCTTTCTGTTTGGTAATAATATGCACACATTAAGAAAAACTCAAGAGTCATACAAATTTATATCCTGGAAAGGAATTTGGTTACTGTCCTTACAAATGGATGTCTCTTTAAAATGAAATCACAAGAAAAACAGCGAAGTGTTTCATATCGATCACCAGTGTTTAAAAATTACTAGAAGTAACAGGTAGCTTGTGATATATAAGATAATATGTTTGTTACCCACATTTATCTCACCATACACACGCAGCCACAGTAATCAAAATAAGTGGCCTAAACCAAAAATCAATAATTGGAAAAAAAGGAAAAAAAAATATTCTAAATGGGATTAATTTAGAAGTGAAATCTCTTGCTGTTTTGGAAGATGCAGGCCACGTACCGTTTGGAAAACTTTTTGTAAAGATTTTAATACGCCTTCCTTACTGTTGTGTTGATATGACCACAGAATATCCATAGAGACTGTGGGCACCATAATGTTTCCCCCCACTTCTGCACTGCATCCATACAAATTGTCTTGGAAAACATGAGCTTATCAAGAATACTTTCAGCAAAAGAATACAAATATCACTATTAAAGCACATCTGGGTTCCGACCACTTCCAACCTTTTCTTTAATGCACATCATGACAACTAAGCCCTTTTTTCTCTTTAGTGTTTGCACTAAGACCTGTATTACCACTACAAAACCAAAATGCTATTCTTGGCTGCTGGTTTGAATCATCTTTTCTTTATGATATTTTCTGCTCTTGAGCTTCATACACTTCATGACAACACACAAAAAGGAGATGATTTCATCCATTACTGCTAACACCTCTGTAACTGTAGCTTTACTAAGGGAGTGGAATTTAGTACTCTGTTGTGGTTTAACCTGGCAGCCAGCAGCTAAGCACTAGACAACCACTCACTCACCCCTCTCCTTCCCCCCAGCAGGATGGGGAGGAGAACTGAATAAAAGGGAAAACTCATGGGTTGAGATAAAGACAGTTTAGTAAGACAATAAAGGAAATACTAATATTACTAATAATACTAATAATGATAATAATGAATACACAAAACAAACTAGATACAAAACAATTTTCTCACTGCTTGACAATTGATTGACAGGCAGTCCCCGAACAATGATCTCGGAACCCATGGTTTTCCCAGAGTTCGTGAGTTTCATGGATTTTGCCAAACTCACAAATTTCACATAACTCAACTAACTCACAGAAGAAGACCGAACTCCCAGAAAAGTTTGAACTTCTGGACAAGAGAGGATTTGAACTCATGGAAATGAGAAGATCAGATTCCTGCCCCCCAGACAACCCCCATTCCTAAACTGAGCATGGCGTCTATGGTATGGAATGTTTCCACTGGGCAGCTTGGGCTATCTGTCTGGCTATGCTCCCTTCCAGCCTCTGCACACCTGCACATTTGCTGAATAGGGGAGACTGGAAAAAGTCCTTCATTTTTTAGCACCAACTGAAAACACCAACATTCTCCTCATACGAAATTGAAAAAAAGCAGCTACCGGAAGGCAAATTAACTCTATCCCAGCCGAAACCAGGACATACACTGATGGACAATGTGCTTCAGTTTGTTCAGTTCATGAAATCTTTAACTCATGGACTAACTCGGCCTACTGTACAGGCTCCAGATAGCTTTCTGACCCTCAGGTTTTCAGCACAATCTTCAAGTTAACTGTGAGCTACTTATTGTTTATGTTGTGTATGTAAAATACTACTTAAGGCTTACAGTAATGACGGCCACCAGATATCTGGAGACAACTTTCTTTAAAAGGTTACATGCTATGGTATTTCAAAAAAAAGGACATCTGCATCATCTCAGTTTTGATGCCAACCCAACAGATCATTTTAAAAGATATTTAACTGCAATGCTCAGAGCTACAGAGAAAGCTTTCTTACCCATGGCATTGCTTTTCATTGGGAAAACACCAAAGGACGCTCCAGTGTTGTCTTCCAAACACAGGAAGAAAGTTTGAACTCCATATATTATTCATTGCCTGAAATGATAACAAGGAAAAAGTAGGCTGATTAAACTCTAATATTTCAGAATATATCCCAGGTAGAACTTGAAGCTTCTCCAAATTTAGCAAACAACAAAAATAAATATCCTGACACTTTTCTACAGTTCTTTTTCTCTTTCCTGGCATTCTTCTCCTTTATGAGAACGTTCTCCATTAAAACAAAAGTTTCCCCAAATACAAAGATAACATAAGCAAGCAGATATGATAGATCTTCAGGTGAATCTGGTTATATTGCAGTACTATTTCTGGGTAATATACGTGCACATCAAGTGAGCAATAGAACTCGAAAGGTGTTTTCATCACTTTTCACCACAGATCAGATTTTACATCTAACCTATATTTCTATTAATCCTGCAAGGTAATCATTTTTATGTCGAATCTTGGAAATAAGAGAGTGCATTGCTTCTCTTTTATTTCCTGCCTAATGTTTTTTTTTCCTGTTATTATTAGCAACAAAACCTTAGAAATTTTAACAATTGTTGTAATAGTTGTGCTTCTTCCCCTGCAAAAGAAAACTCAGAACAAATTAATGAGAAACAGAACTTGAGCAATTTGAAATCAGCCAAAATGGATTCTGTTCACTGTTAGTTTAACTTAATGAGTCCGCACTTTAATAGAGCCATTCAGGTATGAACTACTGTCAAAACTCAGCATAATAATTATTAATAACAGGCTGTTTATAAGACGAATATTTAGTAGAGACAGAAAAGAAATTGGATTATTTTTATAATAGACCTTCTTTGTAGTGAGACAAATGTGAGCCAATTTAAATTTTGGTCCTGAAAAAAAACCTGTACTTCTTGACGTTTCACCAGGCCAAATAATACTGTGCATTGCCTTCTCTAGTAATTATATCTTGACAGTGCATAATTAGTTTCTCCTGTCAAATTCTCCCACAGCTATCAAATTTTCAAAGAAAATAAAAAATGTAATCAAAACACGGGAAAGACAGAAGTCTCATAAGACAGAAGAAACAGAAGTGAGGTGGGGATGTGTGTGTTTATTTCAGTGACACATAGGGCTGCTAGTATATAATTACAGTTGTCATAACTTCAGCTGGATCTAGACAAGAAGCAGGAGGCTCAGGTCCTGTTGAGCCCCTGAGTGTCCCGCCAGCGGAGCCAGCAACAGCCATGCTGCCAGAGGAGGAGGCTGAGGAGCAGCAATTTTTATGCTTGTCCTGCAGGTGTGCTTTGATGTTCCTGCATTCTTAGCTGGGACCTTCCTCTCTGCGACCCCTCCTTGCTAGCTAAGGGGGGACGACAGACAAGCGCCACAAATACAGGAGAGACAGCTTAAGGAGATACAAATCTCCATGGCTCACTTGTAGAAATATCTTCCTGCATCTTTAGATGCCTAATTAATTTTAACAGCTTAGCTGATAATGATGTCCAACACTAACATTGTCATCCCCAGTGAGCTTAATCAGACGGTGCTCGCCTTGCTACACATTAACGCAATGCTACAATCTCTTCTCAGAAAAAACTCCCAGAGAAGGTGTCTCAGGTAAGCGGTACAAATTCCAAAGCATCAATTAATTACCTACAGTGGTTTCGCCCCCTAGTTTCTGTTAGTATAGCTCCTGTTTCAGCAAAACACTGAAGTGCTTTCTCAAAGCAAAGCAAACCAATAATACTTATGTTAAGAAGTCTTCTTTCATTCATGTTCTACATTGATTTCTTTCTCCAAAATGTCCATAATGTGTTGAGTATGTACTAGAGATGTAGGGGTTTCAATGTTTCTTGCATAGCATTATCTCAAGTGAGTGATTACAAGCTTTAGCAAACATTTCTCTAGCCAAAGCAGAAGATATTCATGAACATAGCAAGAAGATTTGATTGTTTACATTCCCAAACTAGAGCAAAGACTGGCTCTGGGAATACGAAGTCAGAAAAAGCAACAAGCGGAAAATTAATATCGTTCTTTGAGTGGGCACCTCACCTGATTTTAACCCCAGTATGCTCAGTGTATCTCTTGGCAACTCACTGCAGTGAGGTATCGACAGAGCAACACCGTGTATCTGTGTGTGCAACTGTTAAAAGAACTTGGATCAAAGCCTAAGGAAGTCTCCATGCAGATGTAAAAGCCTTCACTTATAATTATCAAAAAATGGGTGCCCAGGAAAGAGACAGCCATACAGACTACAGAAACAAATAACTGCTGACAGACATATTCTAACTTGTGAAGAGACAGCTGCTAAAGAGAAGTTTTCCGTCATTTGCCGAGCTACAAGGATGTTAACTGAAGAAGTACATGTCATCTGTACTGAATGCTGCACGCAGCAATGCATTAGGACATATTCTTATTTATTTTGTTTACCAGTAGAAACTACAAACACTTATATATTAATGTTTATCAACTTCTTTTCAACCGCACATCAACACAAAAGTCACAAATCAGGGAACTTCCATCAGTACCATGCAGATTTTAGTAATAACATGCAGTGCCTGACAAGTCTTTGGGGAAAACCTCAATGGATATTATTAATGTGCCTACTGCCAGGTTTTCCAGTTAACATCATGCCGGTACTGCTTATGCATGTGCTCTCCCACACCATAGATGTTGCTGCTAGGTAGTTTGATTGAGAGCTGTAAAAACTGGTCAGCATACTGCAGCGGTCCTATGGTAGTGTCAAATCTGATGAAACAAATTAAGGAAAAAAAAATTTACCAAGCATACTTGCAATAATTGTTTGTACTCCTTTTACTTAGAGCTGGATAGAAGGTTCAAGTGTCCACCAAGAGACCTGAAGGAGAGGATGGCAGGATGGTGCGGGGCTGGAGCAGAGCGACCCTTGCACAGACGAGCAGATGAGCAGTGTCCATTGATCCTGTAGAAACCTCTCACACAAGCAGCCCATCTGTTTTCAGGGGTACAGCTGCACTCCCCTCTTCCACCAAAGCTCCCCACCCTGCATCTGTTGCGCTGACTCCTCAGTCCACTCTGTGGCCACTCACAGGAACGGGGCAGATGGAGAATTTCCGTGGGTGGACAGAAACACAAAAATAATCCACTCCACCAGGTTTTTCAAAACAATTGCAGTTTTTGCTTGCCGATGAAAACAAATAAGTCCCACTCTTGTGTTCTGCTAGGCTGGTCACTACAGGGAAAGGCAGATTATGGCTGTGTGCTAGCTCTCCCATAAACTGAGCATAGATGAGAGCAGGTTAAAGGGATGATGTGATCCTTAGCATGGTTCAAATCCCTTTTGATGGCTATCAATCACACCTCCTGTAGCAAATTCTGCATAAAGTAACTGCTACACGTTTTAAGAAATGTGAAGCTGGTGGTGTTGAAAATAGCTAGAGACTGCTGTAGATCTCTGTACAAAGAGAAGAAGCCAGATATTGATATTTCTCCTTTACATCTATTAGCAAAACTCCCTGAGAAGCCAAGGGCACAGGAGTGGTTGAACCACTTTGCATTTCCTAAGCAACACCAAATACCACTCCGGGTAAGGACCCCCCACGACTCATGGAATCAGTCAGAACATTGCTATTCATTCCTTTCGAACTTGGTCGTGTTCACTTTCATCTTTCAATCCTCTAAAACTTGAAACATTTCCAGCTGGAGAATGTATCAAAATTGACCCCTACCCAGAAGTAGCTGGAGTTTCCATCAGTCATCACTTTTTAAATGAAACAATCATAAATAGAACACAATTGTGAGTTAAACCAGATTTAAAGCAGAGCGCAATTGGAAGGCAGCTGATCCTCAGATTTGAAGGTTATCTTCAGTTTCATTAAACCAAGAGCTTACAGGCATCTGCAGAAACACAGTCGTTTCCCGAAAGGAGAGAAAATTACTGACTTTGAGACAGTAAACTCCCTCAATGTATATTAACATCATACACAATTTCAAAGGAACATGTTTTTATCCACTCATTTAAAGTAGATTTAATTAGAAACTCTTTTTATAACTGTATTTGTGTGTGATATTTGTGACCTTTAACAGTCATGATATTCATATAGGGGAGAGCAATGAAGCTTTATCTTGACTTCACACAAACACAGACAAATTACTTTTAAGGAACTTTATCACTTCAGATGTATTAGTACACTGTAACTACATTTATCAGTAGGAGTGTATCATTATCACCAAAATCTTTAATGCCTGAAGAAGACCATAAACAAATAAATACTCAGTGCATTAGTGACTACAAACACTGCACAAACAAGCAACAAAAACAGGAGGGTTTGGACTTGCTACAGTTTTAATCTTCTCACTTACCGTTTCCTTTTTTTTTTTTGTTCTAAGTTAAGAATACTACACCTGAGAGAGGCTTCATAGGTCAAATCCTCACCTGATGTATTCCTGTCCAGTTTCAGTGATTCCAAGGACTATCTTGCCCATTTGCTCACAAACTGCACTGAAAGTGGCTTTTCTCTGAGGGGGAAGGGCTGCATTTCCAATGAAACTATGGCAATCTTTCAGGTTGTCTTGCTAATGATCATGGCAATAGGTCAGTCAGAACTCCATCTCTTTTGGGGGACTCAGGTACGACACATGAAGATTGAAGGTGGTAGGCTTTATAACTGTCTAGGTTATTCGGATTTTTGTCATGCACTGCAACAGTACATTAGTCCCCACTCTTCCAAAGAGGCCTTCCTTTTGTTTGGTTGTTGAAGAGTTGGGGGAAAGCACTCATCTTGTGTAAACAAATTTATCAAGGAATTCTCTCTGAGGGGCTGCTCTTACCCCATGCTAGCAACAGCTTTCTTTGAAATACTCAAACTCCGAGTCAAGCATCACTGTAATTTTTTTCTTTAGAGACAGAAAAGGCAACCACTTTTATCAAACTAAACAAAAGCCGAAAAGACAATCTTCCAGAGCACAGTTTCAACATGGTTCTGTAGGACTAGGTTTCTTATTCCCCCCTCCATATACCTGTTTAATCAGTCACGCACTACTGAATACCAAGTCCATCTTTTGTGCTCTCTATAATTGCAAATCAATCATTATAGAGGGTTCTAAGCAAGAAAACAATACTAATAAGAGCACATAAGTAATCGATAATTAATTAAATTTGAAGCATTGACAATCCAACTGGCCTAGCACTCTGACAGGTAATCATTCTTAGACTGATTTAATAAGCATGTTCATCCTGACACTTCCCCCTTCTAACGGGTCTTAAAGCCATGCCATTTGGTTTGTAGGTTTGTTTTATCTATATATGTGTAGGACCTAAATGGGATGAAAACATTCAACATACAAGTCTGTCAAATATTGTTTTACTTCCAGCTTTATATGACCAGCTTATCAGTGGCTTGCACCAGCTATTCTTGGGTATCATGGGTCTCAAGGGCAACCCGGTTTTGGTGAGTCAGGGCTTCAGCATGACTGTGATAAATAAGATAGAAGATGCAATGAGGAGTGTTCCCCATGCAATTTGAAGCATTGGCAAGGAGTCCTTCAGGTAATAAAGATTCCTCAAATTGATGGACCAAAGTAGCTGTAAAGATCTCCCTAGCACTGGGGGGAAGTGAACAGAGAGCCAGACCTAGAACCTTTCAGACAGAGCTCTGCATATCACAGAATTTATTTCCAAAGGCCTCGCAAGAGTCCTTGCAGAACACCCATCAGAAAAAAGAAGAGAAGACATAGACTGCATGTGCAAGAGGGCACCTCACATGTGGCATCTTGAACATACATTGCTTGCATGCCAACATGGGCTTTCAGAGAAAACCGAGGACATCTGTGTTATTTAGAAAAAACACCAACATTACTTCCAGCACTCTGCCGTTGCTCGCTCTGGTCACAACGATAGCAAAGGGGTTTTTCTTCACGTCCACTTTGTAGTTTAAAGTGGAGTCTGCGGATCCCGTGAAAGATCACATGTGTTCATGGAGGACTTCAAATCTGTGTGGTCTAGGATGAGAGATCTGCAGTTATTTAAGGAACAGAAGTGTTGACATTTTAAAAGCTAATGCCTAATTTAAACTTTTTCCAATGTTAATGTATAGTTCTGACTTAGGATATTCCCAGCCCTGTAGCTCAATATGCATTCCTTTTGTGAATATAGATGCCAAATTAAAATTGGAAGGACTTTTTTTCTTAAATGGTACTGTGCTGCTGCTCTCACAAGTGTTCCTTCCCCTGAAGCTCTGTTCTTCCACAGAAGCTTGAATTAGAGCATCACATAAAAGCACCTGAAAGCTCCGTTAAGATGCTCCACTAGATTTCACGTTTGTCGGACCAAATTTAAGGTGACCTCTTGGCAACTTCAGCTGACAAATAGTACCCAGTGGCTGTTTTCAGTTTCTCCCAACACTGAAAGTTACTTTGCATGTGTTTTGGAACACTGTGTATGTTTGGAGTGAGAACTACAAAGTGTAGAAATCTTGTCTCAGGCTGAGAGGCACACAAATACATGGACTCACCTGTCTGCGTTATCTACAATATACACACAATTTTTGCTCAGGAAAACTCATACTCATCTCATGACAGAAACAGGCAGAAAATATGCAGATTTTAGTCTGCATGGGCAGTTTTACTAAAACACTGAAGTGTTTGTTTTGTATAAGCAATCATTTTTATTTCACTGCCATTTTCAGCTCTGAGTTTTTTGCTTCAATCCCCATGTGCAAATGTGCTTACTCACACAAATGGAACTGTACATAAACAGAGTGCTTTATATCACATGGTTATAAAACAAGTGGTTTCTAATGTACCAATACAGGTTTTTATGTTATTTTTTTTTTCCCACACAGTATGTCTGTGCCCACATACTGTCCTTGAACCCTTTTTTTTTTTCTTCAGTGTTGTCTTTTTTTTAACTTAATAAATATTGAAATCATATCAAATAAACAAATAGACAGAAAAGCAGTCTTTGGAGGAATGGATAACAGGGTTTTATGAATAAAATTTCTAAGATATTCTATTTATTTCCAATATTTATAACCAATAATATTATGAGTGTTATCTGTAGGAAAGAATGACCATGACTCACATTTAGCTAATAAGAATAATATAATAGTAACACAAAGACTAGCAAAAACATTGAATTTACAAAGGACAGCAGAGCAATGCTTGTCTTTTTTATATTTTTTTTCCTCTCTCTTCACTTGAATGTCCATGTTCTCGAAAAGTGATTCCAGCAGTGACAGAAACGATGCCAATGGTTAGTTCCTGAAGCTCGGTGGCATTTACAACAGTCTCAGCAAGCAGACGGGAGCAGCTCCCACTCGATGTTTTTGCTCTGGTCCTGCAGTAGCAAGGGGAAGTACATACCTGTAGTTTTGACTCCAGACTGTCCTGATGCTAAAAGCCCAATAAGGACACAGGCTATGACTGCCACCATGCAGAAGAGGACGATCAGGGTGGTTTCCAGCCCACTGAACTGCCTCTTGCCCATCTAGGCCCAGAGAAACACCATCAGTATACGGAAAACAGAAGTAACATCTTTGAAAAAAACTTTATAAATTCTATTCATAATTTAATAAGTTAGCAAAATTTACCAACAATTCAAATTATAGACCATGTCCCCTAATCCCAGACCTTAAACACAGCACTCCTTAAGGACTACATGTAATAAAGCTCCAGTTCAGGATAATTCACACAGCACAGGTCACTGCATTGTTACACTAGCGGGCAAGCACTGAGAAATGCATTTTCTTCCCTGCAAACCACACACATAGAACACAATTTTCTCCTCAGATTAACTATGGAGTTTTCTACATGTTACTGAAATTCCTGAAAGAGAAAA